TGGGCAGGTCTGTCAGCACTTTGCTCAGGTACTTGGTGAGGAAATCACTCTTGCAGTTCAGCCACTTCTCACAGCTGTCCACCTCTAGGAGGAAGGGAACCAAGAGACTGAGGGCATGTGCAGCTCACACTCTGCCTTACCCAGCTGCCATTTGCCCGCAGCCTCGCCAGCACCACCAGCGGAGCCTGCAGCCACGAGGCAGGAGCAATCAGGCTCCTGGGATGAGCTGTAGCCAGGCTCTGTCCCCGAGGCAGTGACAGAGGGAAGAGGTTTCATGCTGGGGCAGAGCTGCCTCTTGCAGGGGGCTCTGCCTGGAGCACCCATCACTACAGGAGCTGGGCTGGCAGCAACCCCCATGGCAGAGGGCACGCAGCAGGCTGACAGGTAAAGCAAGACTGTGCTCTACCAGGGCTGTGGGAGGAACTGGGTTTCCCAGCATGACTGCCAAAGCCTGCACATGGCAGTGGTTTGTGTATTGTGCAGGTTTGGACATCAGATGTGGAAGCCCTTGGCAGAGCCCTCCCCACCAACCAGCTACACCCCCCATAGCGTCTGGTACCAAACCCCCAGTGCCAGGCAGAGGCTGACCTGAGTTGAACAGTTCTGTGGTGTTGTCACTTTTGAATGGTGTCTCCTCTGTGGGGAAGACCATTTCCCCCTCTGCTCCTTGAGAGGAAAAAAGAACCAAAAAAACAAAGAGCCAGGCTGAACACCAGGAAGAGAGGTGGGTTTTTTCCTCCTTAGGGGCACCAGACACTATCCATCTTCCACCCCCTCTTCCACCACTGCTTTGGTTACACAGCCCTGTGCCTGAGAGGAAAGACCAGCAACAAAACAGGCAAGACAGACCTGCCCAAGCCTGTGGGTTATGCAATTCCCAGTGGATGTAGCCAGCTCTCAGTATTCCCCAGGAGAGGATTTCAAGCTCCTTGTGTGAGAGAGGTGCAAGGAGTTGCACACCGAGCTGGATGCCAGGTCTAGCACCCTTGGGCACCATGTAACAGCCAGAGGAGCCACAAAGCCCCATCAGAGCTTCTTTGTGGAAAAAAAGCCCTGTGGTCATTAGCCCAGATCATATTAAACTAGTTTTCTTGAAGCATGAGAAATGCCGAGCCTGCAGTGGCGGGGCACCAAGCCCACACTGGGGTCAGACCGTGCCCAAGCACTGGTACAGCTGAGAGCTCACCAGAGCAGCGTGGCAGGTCACTGGGCGGGCTTAGCCACAGGACCGAGTCCTCTTCTGGTTGCCACTGCCACAGGTAATGCTGCAAGGGGACCATGGGCTCCACTCCTCTTCATCTTCGTACTCTGTGAATGGCAAGGGAGAGGGAGACAGTGGTTGACCTCAGCAAAGCCTCAGCAGGAGAGTCAGCAGCCACCTAGGACCTCCCTCAGCAATGCCCTGTCCCTGAGATGTCCTTTACAGACATGCAGGGCCAGAGGTGCTCAGCCACGTGATGCCAAGGGCCAACCCTATCCTCGCTGGCAACCCCAGGGAAACAGCCCCCCAGGAGAGGCTTTTGTTCTCACAGCATTGCTCATGGTCACATCGACCCAGAGAAACATTGCTGCCCACCTCCATCCTCATCCCCAATGAACGTGCCAAAGGCACAGGCCGTGATGCTGAAGCATCACGTGTTAGCAAATGTTGACTGGCTTTGGGCTTGTGGTCTAGGAGAAGGGACCTGCTGAGGTGCCCTGGCCTGTCTGCCCACTGCCACCTGCCATTTACCCTCTGCAGCAACTCTCCTGTGGGGTGTCCAGGTTTGTGGCGAAGCCTTTTGTTGTCATTGCAGAGAGCTGAGTTGATGGCAGCAGCATTTGCTATTAAACATTTACACCATATTTCTCATCTGAGCATGCCTTCCCTAGAGTCCATGCTCCAGTCTGATTACATGCAAGGGGAACTCCTGCCAGGATTCTGGCACGTCTGACCACTGGCAGCCCCAGCTGGATGCTGGCCTTGCTCCTCAGCATGCTTGGAGCAGCTCAACTCAGCACCAGCGTGCTGTGAGCCCCGGTGCAGGGCTGCTCCCCGTGCAGCGAGACAGGGCTGTGGGTCAGGCAGGGCAGGGGAGGGTAGTGCTGGTCTGCAGAGTAGCTGCACATGCCCAAAAGGACTCACCATAATTATATTTTTCCTTAAAGACCCAGTTCTTCTGCCCAGGCCACTGCTGGTCCCAGTCACTTCCCACTCCACTGAGCATGGACTCCTCCTCCTCATACTCTGCTGTGTAATCTTCCTCCTCCTCCTCTTCTTCCTCCTCCCTGTCCCCTACATCCAGGTTGTCATCTTCCTCTTCCTCCTCCTCCTCTTCTTGCTCCTCCTCCTCCTCAGTGGGGTCAGTGTACTCCCAAAAAAGAGGCCAGAAGAGGTCCTTGTGGGACAACCACTCAGAGGACATCAGGGACCAGTCGTTGCTCATCTCCTTCAACAAGTCCATCTCCATCTCAGCCTGAGGATCATCCACCACTTCGATAGTCACCTGGAGGCCAGATATAAGGCAGGGCAGTGAGCCAGGGCCCAGCCTTGGGACCTACCAGCCCATGAACTGGTTCCCAGCCCAATAGGCCAGAGATGTTTTGGGCTATAGGACCACATGACGAGCACAAAAGTTCTTGCCTCATCCAGAGGGACTGAGCAGGGGCAGAGTGGGAGGCACAGTGGGGCTGGCAGTCACCCAGAGGGACCAACACCATCCTCAGAAATTGAGAGGTCATAGAAGCATTTGCTCCTGCTCTATGGAAAGGGGCTGGGGGAGGGAGGCACAAACAAATTCCTCTGGCAAGAAGCTTATCTGTGCCAGCTATTTGCATCCAGTAGTTACCAAGCAGTGGCCACACACGGCCTGCTCATGACATCTTTCCTCTTAAGGAGCCAAATGAGGCTGGGGAGCACACATGGCTCTTGCCACCATCACCCTCACAGTTTGTCCAGGCCTGCTCCCCACCTGGATGTTGGGGTTCTGGGCGTTCAGGTCCATGTTGGCCAGCCCGGGCAAGCTCTGCAGGTCCAGCATGAAGGGCAAGCTCTCCTCCCGGCCAGCGCCGCTGGACTGGGGCAGCGCTGGGCTCCTGGCAG